CTGAGACCAGGGCCCTGACTACTCAAGCCATCTGGCCTTGGAGTGGAACTAATAGGGCCGGAAGGCGGGATCGCTGTGATGTAGCGGACCCTCCTTCCCCGGTAATGGCTTGCAAAGGTTACTGTGGCTCCTATGACGTCGTAATCATGAGCTAGGCGCCCAGATCAGGATCATGCATTTGTGGGGGTGCTGCAACAGCTGGAATCTCACAGCCGGTCATACATTCCTGTTTTCAGGTCTGCCATGGTTGAACAAATGAACACAAACTGAGGATTATCTGAGGACTACATTTCACTCATTTCCTGCTTCATTACAACATGAAATTCTTTTCATGCACAATATCATGTCAGGTATCCTTCACTGCATAACTATACATGTGAGTTTTTTTCAGAGAACTTTTCATATTGTGAAATAGTTTAGCTTAAATAAAAGAACATTTGAATTTCCAGATGTTGCTTGAAGGAAAAGGTTTAAGGCTAATCAATTTTGTCAGCATGTAATAGAATGTTTGCAAAAATGGTTCCTCCATTGCTTGTCTAAATATTTCTAAATTTCAGAATTTCAAATAAGGCTGTTTATTCCAAAACACAACACAAGTTATAAATATGGGATTCTTTTCCCAGGATAAAAGCCCTAATGTCTATTTTGTTTAAAAAAAATAAATTACATTTTTTGTAAGGGTTAAGGAGGTTTCCTAAGAAATAAATACTAAATCAAATCTACTGTATTTTTCATAGTATAAGACACACCTTTTTCCCCCCCAAAAAGAGGGTGAAAATCTGGGTGCATCTTATACACTGAATACAGCATTTTTGGCCAACCGAAACCCCATCCCCTTTGCGAAAATGGCCATGCAGAATGTTTAGGAGGCTCGCAAAGTGCTCCTGGGGGCTGGAGAGGGCAAAAATGAGCAAAAAACAGGCCATTTTTGCTCGATTTTGCCCCCCTCCCAGCCCCCAGAAGCACTTCTTCAAGCCTCCCAAAGCTCTGAATGCGCTTTTTTGCAAAAAAAACAGGCCATTTTTTGCTTGTTTTTGCCCCCCCCCAGCCCCCCAGAGCACTTTACAGGTCTCCCAAAGCTCTGCATGTCCCCTTTGTTTTGTTTTTGCAAAAAAACGAGGTGTGAAGAGGGTTTGGGAAGCCTGCAGAGTGCAAAACTTTTTTAAAAAACAAATTACCTCTTCAAAATCATGGAGCATCTTATACTCTGAAAAATATGGTATATTAAGGAACAATATCCCTCTGGAAAATCTAGTTTAGATGAAGAGTGGCCCATGCAAATTTCCCCCAAAATTGCACAGAGGTGGGGGGGGGGATAGTTGCTATCAAACTTATCCTTCTACTTACGCAGATCTCCCTTCCAGATCCAGTTTTGTAGGGTTCACCCCTTTTTTAGCAAGGACAGACAAGATCTTCTCCAAATCACCCCTTTCAGCTGCTTTCATCAAACGATCATCATATTTGTTCCAATCTGCAGACAACTGTTTGAAAAATGCAGAAAAAATATAATAAACATCAGTATTGGAAAATCTAGCAAGAATTCCAGAAAATATTTGTTTTAAGCAAGTAGTGAGCGTCTCCAATAAAAATCAATGAGCTAAAAGAATTGTTTCTCATCCAGCACATTGCTAAAAGGCGAAACAACCTGACTTGTTTCGCAGGCAAACGCCCTGGAGGAAGTATTACTCTGGTCTAAAAATACAAGAAATAAATGTACTCAATTACATTTTTAGCAGCCACCTTAAACTGATTTATTATTTTAGTTTATTAGTATTATTTCTTTTAGTACTATTTAGTATTATTTATAACTTCTTTTCCTCAGGCAAAATGGGTGAAAAAAGAGATTTAACTGACTCTGATAAGTCAAAAGTTGTAAAAAGTCTTTCAGGGGGATGCAGCACTCTTGTTAAGATATTGGAGTGGGATCACAGAACCATCCAATGTTTTGTTGCCGCAAGAAATGTGTTGAGAAAAAGACGCAAATTAACTGCCAAAGATTTGAGAAGAATCAAATGTGAGATTGCCAGGATACCCATCCTCCTCCAGGGCTGTCATCTTCCAGAACTGCAAGCCACCTGGAGTGCTCAGAGGTACAAGGTGTTGAGTGCTCAGAGACATGGCCAAGGTGAGGAAGGCTGAAACCTAACCACCACTGAACAAGACACACAGGTTGAAATGGCAAGACTGGGCCAAGACATAGCTGAATATTTTCCAAAGGTTTTAGGGACTGATGAGATGAGAGTGGCTCTTGACAGACCAGATGAAAGGGCCTGTGGCTGGATCAGTGATGGGCACAGAGCTACTCAAGATGCCAGCAAGGTGGAGGTGGGGGACTGGTATGGGCTGGTATTATTGAAGGTGAGCTAGCTGGACCTTTTCGGGTTGAAGATGGACTCAAAATCAACTCCCAAACCTACTGCCAGTTTTTAGAAGA